ATAGTGGATTGTAGGGGTTGAGTGAGAGAAGGGGGGGGGGGGGGGGGTGGGTGGGGGGGGGGGAAATGAAAGGGTGAGGAGAAAGAGAGAGTTGGAAACATAGAGTGTGATAAGAGGTTTTTCAGAGGAGAGCAGAGGCAGATGGGGAAAGAAGAGGGAAACAGAGCGAGGGAGTTAAAGCGATGAGAGGGAGTGGGAGGAAGAAAGAGAAAGGAGAGAAGGCAGAGCGGCGCAGTGCGGGGGGGATAGAGAAGGAGAGAGGGTGAGAGAGCAAGGGAGAGGAGGGAGAGAGAGAGAGAGAGAGCGAGAGGGAGAGAGGAAGCCTACGGAGCGACTGAGCCAGTGATACGCAGGCAGTCACGGAGAGAAGATGGAGAGTCTGAGGACGTTGGCATCCCTGAGGCTGGTCCAATGAGATGGTGAGGAGCTCAGGAGCACTACGGAGGAGAGGCAGGAGCAGAGGGAGAGACAGGGGAGACAGGGAGGCGTCAGCAGGAGGGGAGGAGTGAACGTTCAGCTCCTCAGCTGAAGGAGAAAAAAAAAAAAAAAAAAAGCTGATAAAAGTTTTTGAGAGAGCGCCGGAGAGGGAAGGAGGCAGGAGGAAAGAGAGAAAAGACGGTGGAAATAACCAACGTTGATGGCCGCGGTAGGAGGAGATCCATGGACAAAGAGGAGGAAGCGTTCTTCATCTCAGGAGTTGACCTCGTCCTCGTCTGCTGCTCCCTCCGTCTGTGAGGCTGGACTTCCTCCACCACCATGTTCTCTGACAGCAGGGCTTCACCTTCTGGGGAGCAGAAAGGCTTCAAGCCTCACGCTCCCCACTTCCTGCCGTGGCTCCGCAACAGTTTGAAGTCGCACCACGGCGGCGACGTGGGACTGAAGAGGCCGCAGAAGTCCACCTCCGAGGTCTTCAACACCCTGACTCCTCTGGAGAGACCCAAGGGAATCGGATTTTTCTCTTTCTCCGGGAAAGAGCGCAGTAAGAAGAGCGACCTCCGGTGGAATGGCGTGTCGATGGCGAAGATGCTGCCTGTGATGCTCCGAGGGCCGCACATCCTGCACGGGACTCTGGGGAAGCAGAGGGAGGACAGTCCCGTTCGGTGGAACCAGTCTCCGGAGTTAGCCCCAGCCGAGGGCCCGGGGGAGGAGAGGCGGCACCAACAGGTCAACAGCTCCACCGCAGCTGAGGACGACCACGCCGTGGTGAGAAACCACAGCGGTCGCCTGAGCGTCCTTCATCCACAGAAGGACAGGACTTGCGTCCCGCTCAGAAAATATGGGCCACTGGTGGCTGCGGTGTCTGTGACGGCACCGCTGGCCCAGGATGCTAACTATAAGGTGCCTGTTGGGGTGTGTGTGGAGGACGGACGGGCCAAGGCGTGGGACTACACCAACTGCACCACCTTCCGCCGCGGAGACGTCCATTCGTCCAGCTGGGCCAGTCCAGAAACTCAGGGACTGATAGAGCGTCAGCGCCGGCTCAGCTCCAGCTTCAGCTACGTCCAGCAGCGGAGCAGGAACTCCCAGAGCCAAAGAGACCTGACGGCGCTGAGGGAGCCACCTGTGGAGGGTCTCAGCAGGGTCAGACCTGCCAATGGAGTGATCTTCTCCACCGAGGTTCCTCAGCAGAACCCGGGCTGTACCAAAACCCTACGGCGCCCCAGGAGACCGAGACCGAGCTCGGAGCACGTCGCGGTCCTGGACGGCGACAGGGAGCCACAGAGCTGCAGCAGGAAGGCGGTTCGCAATCAAATCAAACGTGTGATGGACAACCTGGAGCAGGTGCTGACGGCGCTGAGGGACGTCCACCAGGAAATGAAGGAGGTAAGAAGGTGAAGGGTTTCTAGAGGGAAAAAAAAGCAAAGAAAAAGGTGGAGACGACTTAACGAGGCAGACGCCGGAGTGTCACACGCTCCGGGTAATTGCATTTCTTTTCATGACTGACCTAAAAACAAATCAGCCGAGAATAGAGAACAGCGTTTACCGCAACCCCTTACATTTATTCAGACAGAGATGTTCAGGCGCGTCTTATAAACGCCGCAGGGCTTCGGTCTCTTCACCAATTACAACGCAGGGCCACAAATGCACATCCTCAGCAGAATTTAAACAGCTTTTTTTTATAAAAAAAAAAAAAAAAAAAAGTCGGCAGCACAACTTCACCGCAGTCTACAGACTGTTCCTCTCTGTCATCTGTCTCCGAGCAGAAACCTCTCTGTCGATTCATACATTTTCAGATAATAAGACAACGGTCACGGCCCATTGGTCTGATGCTTTCAGAGATGCTGAGATTATGTTGTGTGACATTCTCCAGGCACAGCTGGAGAGCTTCACACGTGGGTTTTTTTTTTAACAGTAATTCATTTGGACTACAAGCGTTCACGCCTCGTAGTCCACTTCTACTACAAATGATATAACAAAAAAAAAAAAAAAACACGAAAAAATCTCACTTCCTGCCATTTGATCTTCCTGGGCTGCAGATAAATCTGAGGATCTAACCTCATCATCCCTGCTGCGAGACTTTGTGTGACAGTAATAATACGACGCTGATGAAAGAGCACATCAGCCGCCGCACGGAGGGAGAAGAGAGGAAGCAAACTGGCAGCGTGTGATTGAACGTCTCAAAATTTCACAGCAGAGATGACGGTTCAAAGGCAGGCGAAGAAGACTTTGGTCACAAATGTATTTCAAACCCCTGCTTTATCATTCTGTTGCATGAGCAGGGACACACACTTTTTCAATAATGAATTACTGGGAGGCGAAAAAAAAAGGCACATTTTTAAGCGATCCTAAAAATCGAGGAGCGACGAAGCCACAACTGTGAGCTCAGACGTGAGAGGAGGTTTCTTTTTTTCAGATGTTTGAAATCAGAACTTCAACAGTTAAACAGGAAACATTAAATGAGTTGTACGGAGGAAAAAAAAAAAAACAACTTCCCATCCTCTGAACACTCATCATCTGCAGCACACACACACACACACACACACACACTCCAGGGGTCATAAATGTTGTTTCACAATCACTCCTGGGAGCAGCAGATGAAAACCAGGGTCCTCTGCTCTTTTATCTGCGTTTATACCTGACATTAACAAGAAGCATCTGCCCCGAGTCACTGGATGTGCAGATACTTCAAAGAAATGAGAAACACCTCAGTCAGGAAATGAGGTAGAAAAAAACAAAAACACCCTCAACAAACCAGGTCATCTTTTGACTTTTGTGTCGTCGAACACACGGAACAAAAACAGTAACTCATTTGTTCTCGCACCGAGCGAGGATTTATCTGTGGCCACGGAGCAGCTGGAGAGACGGGTCAAACATTTCCCCCAGTGTAATTTTCTTCAATCTCTCAAGTCCTTGTTGTTGTTGTTGTTGTTGTTGTTGTTGTTGTTGTTGTTGTTGTGTGTACTAAAAAAAAGACACCTTCAAACACATGCATCCACAGATGATTTTGTGTTTTTATTATTTCATATATATTTATATATATAAATATATATATATATAGTGACATACTTGCACGTAAGAGCTGTACGTCCAGTGCAGAAGAATGAAAAAGAGGTTGTGGGTTAAATACCCAGCCTGAAGCATCATTATGTACCTGAAAATATCCCAACCTCACAGAGGTGAAAACCTCTACGCAACAGATAGAAGATAAAACAGTGATTTTACTTTGCAGTGACATTTACAAACTTAGAGCATGCAGTTCCCCCTTTGTCCTGCAGGGGGGGGGTTTAACCTGATTTTGGTTGAAGTTAGCATGTTCATTTTACAGACCAGCTGTTGATGTCAATGGCTGTTTCAAGCAGCTGCTAAATATAATGGTAGTTGAGGTACAAGTTGAGGTAACGGCGCCCCCTATAGGACCATACCTTGTATTGTAGTATCTGGTACAAGGAAAACTTTAATTCAACTCCAACTGGTTTTTTTAGTGGTAAATGTTGACCAGCACACAGATGCGCGGTTACTTGCAAATTGTGGTTAAAGAGAAAACACAGGTAGGGGGCAGTAGAGTGTCATTGAGTCCAAGTGGCCGCACTGTTAAATGGTAAATAATTTAATCGTTTTTTTGTTTTTTTCAAACCATTCTTTTACTTTGGAAGGTAGATAAACAACTGGGGGGGGGGGCCATAGTAGTCAAGTTGTCAGCGATGCTAGGCTAAGCATCCAGAGGGTCAAAGGTCAGTGAAATCTGACTTCTGTGTGGAGTGTGGGTGTCGTCTCCTCCTGTGTTTGTTTTTTTTATTTCTATTTTTCCAAAAACACAGAGATCGACACCGGAGTTAAGACTGAAGTAGAAATGTTTGTGAGACAATATTTAAAGTTCAAAAACTGCCTCCTCGCTCGCACTGATATATTTGCAGTACAAATATTAGAGTGTGTACAGCATGTATATAAATTGATATTTTCTTTACTCAGCGGGGTCAGACTTCAGACACAGTAACGCAGCTCGCCGACTGTCGCGACCTTCTGGTCTTCACACGTTTAAACTTTCACAACAGGCGTCGGAGCAAAAAAAAAAAAAAACAACAAATCCCAGTCGGAGCAGCAGGAACTGTACGTACATTAGTGCTGACATGAAACTGTACGTTTCTGTTTGTTTTCATCTTCAGGTGGTTCATCAGATCGACTCCCTGACCTCATCCATCGACATGGACGAGCCACAACGGGGGTTTAGAGGAGGCGACTCCAGTCCGGTGTCCAGCCCCAGCACGGCCCGATCAGGCAGCACCCGACGGAGGGTCTCACAGCCGGAGTCGAACAGCGCCCTGAGGAGAGATCAGCGCCGCAGGAGCTCGTCTCCACCAGGTCTACATCTGTGCCCCGCCTCCTCGGGGGGTTCCCCTGAGAGGAGCCAAACCTGCGCCGGCGGGTCTTCACCGGGGAACGGTGGACCGGAGCCAAACGCCGAGGTTCCCTCACCTGGTCCAGCCCGTGACCTCGTGCTGCTGCACCAAAAAACTCTCCCGGTGCGACCTCCCACTCCTGGCCTGTCACCTTTGACCGTGAACCTCCATCCGCCCTCCTCCTCCATCGGGGTCAGCTCTGCCTCTCCTCCCTCCCCTCTGTCTTCAGAGCCTCACCCACCCCCTGCCCTCGGCCCGTCTGTCATCATAGAAACCAAAGGAGCTTCTAATCAGACCTCACTAAGCGACCACCTATCTGCTGGCCTGCTTTCTGCATCATCAACTCAGCCTCCATCTGCCGGCGGCCCACCCACCGACTCAGATATGCAAAATGCGTCCAACACTAACGCGGAGAGCGAAGCTTCCGCAGCAGGCCCGCTCCATCTTCCAGCTTCAAGGATGCAGCCGACGGCGGCACAGGGTCGCCGCGGCCGCAAACCCCCGCCTTACCCCCACCACGGCCCGTCTGAGCACACGAAGAAAGCGAAGGAGACGCGCAAAGCTCCTCCGTACCCGGAGAAAAGGCGGCTGCTCTCGACCACGGTGTGAGACGACGCAGCAGGTGTGGGAGGCAGATCGAACAGAGCCACATTCACAGCACCGGCCGCCGCAAGTCTGCAGGACTAAAGAGTGATTTAAGGCTCGCCAAGTTGAACTGACACCAAGTTTCCAAGGTGACGGGATATAGATGCAACTTGGGGTGAGTATGTCGGGAGCAGCGGCTCTGCTGATGCCTCTGTTTTCTGCCTCTCTCCTTCCAGACACGTCTCTCTCTCTCTCTCTCTCTCTTGAGTATGCGGAACATACAGGGGGCACCGTAACATCTGCCGGGGTTACTGCTCTGGTAATGGGAGCCTCCACGCAGATGCTTACTGTGCACTCCGGTGCCTCGGCAGCCACAGTTAAAGTGCAAAGAGAGAGAGAGAGAGAGAGAGAGAGAGAGCGAGAGAGAGAGGCCTAATTAAATAGGAATACGAAGTTAACCGTAATTACTCTGAGGTGACAACGTGAGGTGAAGAAGTGCTGACGTCTGTGAACTTGAAGAAAGGCGGCGGGACACTGTGTGGAGTGTGAGGAGTTCGGTCGCTGTAGCTCAGCGGTGTGAAAGGGTCAGGAAGGTCACGGCTCTGTGACAGAACTGCAGACAGTAGAGCTCACCCTGGTGGCGCTAACTATGCAAACGCAGCCAGGCGTCAGGACGCGTGACAGCGGGCAGCTGGACCGCCGGCGTGGTCGCACAAATATTTTTCCGTTTCTGCTCCTGGTGCGACACGACACGACCCTAATCTCCATCTGTTCTCCCCCAAAATGGCAGGAGACGCACGGCGAGACGGGCAGTGGGTGAGGGAGGAGGGAGGGGGGGGAGGACGCTGAATGTCAGCGCAATTGATTTGACAGAAGTCAAATTCCTTATTGATTTGACTCCTCTGAGCTCCAGTACGTGTCTACGAACGTCTTCTTCTGTCAACATTCAGTGTCTGATTGACCGGGAAAAAAATCCAGTGAAAAATCTGAAACTGCAGGGTTTTTTTTTTTTTGTTTTTTTTATCAGCCCGGTTTTTTTTTTTGTTTTTTTTTTATCAGCCACAGAACTCACGTACAGAACATTAATTTTTGATTCCATTTAGTCCCAGCTCTCAGATGTACTTTCAACCAAATGCCACAAGGAGTGCATTTGTTTGGTCTGATTTATATCTGCAGCACCTGAGGCCAGCGTCGGACCGTTAGTCAGCCGTTGTTGATAGGACAGCTGACATTTTTGTGTTTTTTAAAACTTGCAAAACATCACACGCGTGCGTCAACTGTGATTCATCATCACTTTAATTATATTCACATTCAAAACTAACCACCGTCCTGAGGAGGACGGGACGTTCGTACTCATCAGTTTCACCTGACAAACGTATGTTTGTGGCCGTCTGACCTATGACCTCCGGGACAGTCCGTGACTGTAACACTGAACATCCTGCAGGCTGCACCGCCCCAAGTTAACAATGTTGTAACTCTCAACACGGTGCAGCCACGGGGTCTGAAGAAGCCACTGTTACAGGAGACATTTTGGCGTCTTCTTTATTACTGAATAAAATTCACTCAGAGCCGAAGCTAACAGTAAAACTGATGATGACACAGACGGATGATTCAGAAACACCAACCGCAAAAAAAAAAAAAAAAAAAAAAAAATCCAGGATATTTTTCTCACTATTGAATTTAGTTTGGTTTAATGGTTCTGGTCCGTTACACTTCACAGAGGGAATATTATTTTTAAGCTCCGTGTCCCTGCGTCTACCTGCACTGCTGATAAAAACGAAGCCAAGATGCATCGATCCAACGGTTTCCCACCTGTGTCTTTTTTTTTTATTATAGTAAATTCAGGTTTGAGCACAACCTGGAAAAAGTTTCTATAAAGTTTTTCTAAATTAACCCAAAACTTTACATCCAAATTGGCCAATCAGTTGAACATGGAAACAAAAAATTACGTAATAAATGTTACATGTGAAGAAAAAGACAAACATGACAGCCTCCAAACTCACTCATGTACAATTGGTCAACACGGTTTATTGAATAATCGCTCATGAAAGGCAGTAAAACTTTTGTCCAAGAACACGTTCTAGGTTCAGACTTTCTGAGCTGTAGGGGGCAGTGCAGAGTGAATTTGAACTGAGACATAAAAAACCTTATCTCTAATGATGAAAATCCAACCTCCAGTGACAACGTGTCTGACCTCTCACTGCTGGCATGTGTAAAAAAGAAAAGTCTGACAATTAAGGCGGTTTTTATGGCTCATATTTGAACACTAGGGGCAGCGGTTTGCAGCTCTGAGTCCATATTCTTTTACGATCTGTGCACAGTGTGCAGAGAAGGTGAAGGCGCACATCTCTGCAGGTACCTGATGGTAAACAGGAGTGGTATTTGTTCAGGGTTGAGATGACGCCACAGTAGCAGCTCTGGCTCTCGGAGACAGACTGAACTGATGTCAAACAAAGAGCTACTGCGCTGCCGAGACGTATTACTCAACGGAACAACCGCCGTGAGAACACCAAAGTGTCAATTCTTTTCTCCCCGACGAGGCAACAAAACTGAAAAGGAGAGTCTGAGGCAGTGGCAGCATCGCTGCGGGCTGCTTTAATTAAAAAGCAGGAGACTGTGGTGACTCCACTGAGCCACAGCTCTGCAGGTGAGGCTGCATCACAGTCACAAGTTTAAGGGCTCCGTCCGAGACCACGGTACCAGATTAGAACGGAGCCAAACTGCACGTGGTTTTATGGATTTTAAACCTCACATGCCAATTGGAGAACAATCAAGACTACTGATTTTCTCTGGGCTTAACATCAGATGAGTAAATCCCCGCTGACTCTGGCTCTCTGTAAGCCCTCAAAGATCACCTCTCCATACATTCCCATAAGTGCCCGTGGATCACAGAGTGTATGTAGAACGCTGTGGATTTAGTAGATCCCTCCGCCGCCGCAAAGCCTTTCTCCCTGAGAAATTACCAAACAAAGGAGAAACGTTTTATCTCACGCAAACATTTATCCTGGAATGATATATTTTAATTGCCCGTGCTTGTTAGAATAATTGTTGGGAAGGGAAATTCTTTAAGCATGATTTTGTATATGGTTTGGTATGAAGTCTCATTATTATGCTGAACGACTGCTTTTTCTTTTTTCTTTTTCTTTTTTTCATGCATGTGCAAACTGGGTTTAAATTAGGAATACATTAGAGCCGCTAGTAAAACTGTTATAGTTATATTTTTGAAAAGATATGACAGGAACATAAAAATGTTCTTCCTGCCATATTTGCTCTCGCCGGGTTCTGACAGAGCTCAGAATATTTAATGTGTCGGTGCCGGCGCTCACATTTCTCTTATCGTGCCTTATAATGAAACCACGGGAGGTTCAATATCATCATAACTGATGTCGGCACCAGGGCGGCGACAGAGTCACCGTCAGTCATAACCAGGTATCAAATCGAACACACATGGATGACGTCAGTGAAAACTTTTTTTTTCTCTGTGTGTTTGTGTTGGTCTATTTCCACACAGGTTATGGATGTGGTCATTTCCTGTTGTGACTCCAGGGGGAGCTGTAATGGTGACAAGAGGGACACACAAACATTTCCTCCACTTCAGACATCAGACAAAGGGAAACCCAACCAAGAGCAGACAAGGTACAAATCCACGAGACAGTAATCCCAGCGCAAAGTCAAAGCAGCAACAAACAAACAGCCAAATCTGAAATCAATCCCAGACCTCGTTTTCTGGACACTCGTGTGGATCTAAGACGGCCAGACCGTAATCCCGCTGGTTACGTAAGAGCGGAGGGAGGAGAGCAGAGGAGAGGGAGCGCAGATCTGTAATAATGATGCAGCTCTGAGACTCGAACAACAGCCCCAGTGATCCCCACGTGGCACTCAGGGATAAAAGCCAAATCTCTGCACAGGCTGATGATGACGCGTGTGTGTGTGTGTGTGTGTGTGTGTGTGTGTGTGTGTGTTATCACAAGTTGAATCCAGTATCACAACAAAATGAATATGTCATTCAACTGAAGGTTTTGCCGTAGTAACTGAGGGTTTTGTGTTTAGTCAGATTATATTTTCATCAGTAAAGTGAGGACCAAAGATCAGCTGGGTTTGTCTCTCGTTGGCTTTTTTTTTAATTTATTTCGTGCGCACAAAGAGACGGAAAGGAAAACTTAACTTGGATTTTCTTTAGAATATTTTATTTTTAAATTTCACGAGTTTTTCAAAAAACTCAGTCCTATTTCTATCGTCTTGTATCTTGAGACCAACTCAACAGTTTTTCCCCCCGAACCAAACCAGACCCTCAGCGTCACGACCTCACAATTACACTCCTCGCTTCGAAACCAAACAAAAAAAGAAAGGACAAAACAAAACATGTTCCAAAAAAAAAAAAGGGATTGAGAGGATCAAAAGTGACGCTTTTATTTATGTGGAACAGATGAAGATCAGCAGAGAGCGAGGCCACGTCGTAACAGCAGCTCAGAACAGACGGAGATTTGAGGAAAATGTAATTGTTTATGTGAGTGTCATGATGATATTGAGGATTACTCACTTTCCTCAGAGGATTACACAAGATGGATAAATCCTCCCTAACTCTAAATGTGTTATCTATACTCACCCCCCCTCCCACTTTTCCTTTTCTTCCCTTCTCCCCTTCTTTTCTTTCTGCTCCTCCAGGACAGATTTACTCCCCTTAAATCACTGCGCCTGTGAAACTAAAACAACTATGGAAGCATTTTATCTAGTGGCAGAATTTTAACTAGGCCATTATGTAAAAAAAGGATACTCGACTGACGCCCGGCTGTTTCTTTCTTTCTATCTTTTTTTTTTTTTTTTTTTTTAATCCCAAGTAGTATAAATCTACTGTGGTAAAGAAAAAAAAAAGGTTCACCACCGTAATTAAGACACTGGCACAGAAAACGCTGCAGCGACAGAATCATTATCGCCCTGCTCCAAATCTGGGTTGTCACTCACGAAGAACTGGTGATCGGTCACGACGCGACCCACGACGACGTCAGGCTTCTGACCAATCAGAGCTCGTCGTGCCGCGTCCGTCCGATGGCGATCACTTTGGAGAGTTGAGCGTTGAACTTCCCCTGGTTGTGGGTCACTGGGGGTGGGGTGGGGTAGGGTGGGGGGGGGTCACACAGGGGAGAGTAGAACGCTGTCACAGACATCGTCACAAAAATAAGGACACATTGTTTGGCAGAGCCGAGTCGACCCGACCCAGTCTGACCACAGAGCTGCAGAGGCAGCAGATTCAACGCTGCGGCGCATCCTCTGACCTGCACCGCCTGTTTATGAAGTTACAGCAGCAGCCGTTCAATCACGGGCACCATCTGTGGCCGCGGAAGCAATAACGTGCTGCAGGAATGAGTCCTAACGTCGGGAAAATAAGCTTGGATTTCTACATTTAAGACTCCTTCACAGGGGAGTTTATTAGTTTGTGCAAAGATGTCGGCAGTCATCACTGCCTTTACTGTTGTTACTGTTGGTGGCAGCAGAGTTATTTGAAGAGAACATCCAGCTCTTCAGGGTAAAAGGGAACAAACAAACAAACAAACAAACAGCGAAGAACCAAGAAAACATGATGATGATACAAAAGTGAAATGAGAATGTTGCATTTTTCTTTTTAAAACTTGCATTATTATATTATATATTATTATAAACATCACACAATAGGCTGTAGTTTGTCTCCAGGCAACACTCACTACTAACTCTATACAGTATTGACACAAAAAAATAAATACTGCAGTTTTAAGTGCATCCAAAACAGATGTTATTAAGAGATTAAAAATGTTTATAAAGTCTATTTTTGACATAAACCAATTTTTAGGTCAGCGTTTTTCTTGTGTTTCTTTTTTATTTAATTTACTTCCATCTAGATTCAATGACAACATGTGTATTCTATTTAAATATATCTGGGGACACAGTGTCTGAGTGAGTCGGCCGTAAAATCCTCAAGAGAATCTTTGTGTTTTCCAAGTTCTGTAAAGTTTCAGAGCTTTTCAGATGATTTCGAGTGTTGGTTTTTTTTTCCTCCCACTGAGGAGTTTCTCTGCCAACAGAAGCGTCTGCCTGATTTTACAGATTATCCCAGGTGAAGCTGGGTTTACAGCGCCCTCTGTGGGGTCACGCAGTAACTACTTCAGACGAGAGTCAACAGGTTAATTCAAATGAACATGGACAAAACTCAACTTCAGTGAGAAGGTAAAATAAAAACCTGACCTGACCATCCAGCTGATGGTGCACCGCTCCTGCTTTACAGTTCTTTTACATCTAAACAGCAACAAATTCCTACACCTCCACTTCCTACAGATAAGGAACGGATACACACTCTAGCAAGACTTCCAAGAGAAGCTCTAAAAATGGCGCCCTCCTCGCTCCACCTGCAGGCACTGATCGCCACCGCGGCGTCTCTATTCGTTTCAGCGCCGCTGTTTTCTGTGTACATTTTTGTGTTAAAGATATTCAGCCTAAAAATGTTCTGCCTTGTACAGCACTTTTTTCTGCTGAATAGGAGAGATGTTCCTGTGCCTTGTGCACAGTGAGTCTGTGGCCTTTACTACTTTAAATGAAAAGGATGGGGGGAAACACTCACAGCGGCCGAGTTAGAGGGAACAGAGAAGACGACACATTTGGGCCATTTATATTGATGCTGCTGCCGGACACAAGGCGTAAACACGGAGGGTTTTTGTTGACACATATTCACGCGTCTTTAGAACCAAAGTAACTCTATATAAAGGTGCACTCGCTCTTTCTGTGCTAAATGTTCTATACTGACACAGAGCCTTCTGGAAAGTTGGTCCTGACTGCGTATGAAAAATCCATAGAAAGAATATAAATATTGGATGTGGCCCATCATCAGTGAAGCCCTGGAAAAGGACTGGAAGTTCTCCACTAGTTTCAGCAGAATCTAAATGAGAATTCTTCTAAGTGATGATTGAAGTCGCCTTAAAAAAAAAAAAAGAAAAACCAAACTCTCTTAATTATGAATAATTATTTTTCCACTTGGAGAAAGAAGATGATGACTGTCAGACTGTTATCCTGCTACAGCGCCCCCTGCTGGACAACCGTTCTAGATTCAGGAGCTATTTTTCTTCTGAAACAAATTGTTAATAAATATAATAAAATTCACTGCGTTTTCTCCTCCATGACTTTCAGTTGCAACCGTGTCATTAAAAAAAAGAGATAAATCTGACCTGGATCTTCACCTACAGCCAGGACCAACTGGCTCTGACAGAATATGTAGAAAAGTTTATCGGCTGCTGCTGCTTTTCCCAGATGCTCGGGCTAATTTATTCAACATTTTTTGAATTCCAAGTTCCTGGAACTACGTGCCATAAAAATAGGACAAGTTGAGCTGAGCAGCATCCAGCATTTGTAACCTACTTGGCATGAAAAACGTTTCAAACGCATCAGTCCACCGCAGTCATCAAGGCCAACAGTTACCAAACTGTGAACTCAAACACAAACAATTTACCTGCTACAACACCTATTAGCTCGACCAAAAAAAGTTTGACAGAAACTGGGTTCAAGGTTAAGAACTAAGTTGTTATAGTTGGAATTTTTCGAGTCAGAACGTCTGTCGCTTTTTTAATCAAGCGAAAAGAGCAGTTGCTTTCGCTGTGACGTGTTGTTGCTAATCACAGTCTGGAACTGAATGTACACAGTGGGGATTTTCTGTAGAAGGTGAATAACAACAAATGATGCTACAGGGAAAAATGACAACCCACTCACTGCTGCCACATACNNNGGGAGGGGGGTGTAGGAGACATAGGGAGAGAGATTGACAGGACGAGCTGTGGGACATCACCCGTTTCTCACCTGTTGAGTCTCCCCTGATAAACTCCTCCGGTTTCAAAGGCTCGTCACTGAGTCCCGCTCCCGCCGTCTGAGACTGGAGACAAAAACAGAGACGTCGATTAGGAGGAAGCACCAGAGAAAGAAAAGACATTTTCTAGGGGAGAGAGGAGCGTTAGAGCCACCTTGCAGAGGGTGCGATGACAAGGTTAAGGAGATTCAGTGTAAGCGTGGCACTGGCAGCTGGCTTTATTTATGCAAGGTTATGGGTGTCCCTTCATTAGGGTGAAGTTATTTGTGTTTTTGTCATCTATTTGCAGGGCAGGGAGCCAGAGCAGGAGGCTGAAACATGTGCTCTCACTAATGACAGTGTGTCAGGACCGTCCTTGCTGGGGGAAGGAGGCGTGTCAAGGTGCACTCCACTCCACTGATGACCACGTCAGACGCTAGAGAAGAGAACCTCCAGCCCTGAGACGGATGACTGTGCTCAGACAGAGAGTCCAGACATTAACCTTCCATCAAACATCATCAGCACAGACCATAATGAGAGTGGGTTCCAACTCCAATAAAGATTATTTGTTACTGATCACCGTTGTCTGTGTTGGTTTGACAAACACGATGGTTTTGACAAAGACGTCGGACCGAACAGAAAAAAAACATTTCATTATCAACCATCCGTGCCGCAGCCTTTTTGCGGTCGTTGGTGAGAAGTTTCAGTCCTTTATTCACTGGTCAATCTCTCAGGCCGCTGCAGATGTGTTGCTTTTCCAGTCTTGACACCGCCCTTCAGTTCACTTAACCGATTTTAGTCAGGGCTTTGTTCAGGCCAATCAATAACATCGACTTTGGGCTTTTCAAGAAAAAAGTTTACTTTGGGTCATTGTGGCTTGAGGTTTTCTCAGAAAATCTTCAATCTTAGCTTGGTTTTTTGTTGTTTTTTTTTTCAGATTGACTCAACAGCCCTGAGCAAATTACTCACCTACATTTCACCTACATTTCCTGAAATAAATATTCCTAAAATAAAATATTCCTAACAAACCTCACTGCAGGGTAGAACATTTTTGGGTTACATGTCACTTCTCTCTTTAAACAACAACAGTTCGGTATTTGGGTTTTAGTGACACCTTGTGGTGAGAGCACGTACTGCACCCAGGCGTACCCGTGCTGCATCAGTGGCAGGTGCAGCACCTGCAGGTTTTGCAGAGATGCTCGTCGTCAACGGCATCGACTGCGAACATATTGAATTTGGTCCTTTTTAAATGATTTGTCTGAGAGTGAGAAGCCTCTGTATCTGCACTGACAGGACGCCTGTAGCAGTGCAGTAATGTCAGGGGGCGAAAAGTCACTGCTGCACTTTGTCTTTGTTAGTCGGCGGAGTCCTGTGAGCTTTTTGCTGTCTAACAGGAGCTCCGCTCCAACTAATCATTCAGCAGAGGGAAAAAAGCTGAGGAGCCAAAACACAGCAGGGGATTTATCATGTGTTGCACCTACTGTAATATAAATATAATGTTCCAGTTCTAGTGTAATTTATAACCCATAACAAAGTAGACTGGAGCCATTTCCAAAGATTACCCGGTGGTTTGGTGTTTTACAGGAATAATATGTATTCAAATGGGGAATTTAACAGTGTGTCAGTATATTATCATCTTCACTTTAGTTTGATACGAGGGGAAACCCACATGTATTTCTCATTTACAATCTGCCAGGTTCAAGGTAAATACATTTGAACAAAAATCTTAAATAAATTTCTGATAAAATTGATGATTCATAGATTTTAGTATATGAAATTATATTATTAGAAATGATTAGAAATGAAGTTATATTTTAGATTTGTTAATACTACATTTTTGCACATATACGTCTTAGAAAAAGGTATTTGTTTGCAACTTATCTACAGTGTAAGACCATACGTCTGTCTGTCCTACATTACATAAATAAAAGTTTGATGAATGAGTGTGTATTTGCGATACAAAAACCTCAGCTGTGGTTGAAACGTTTATAAAACAGACAGTGACAGGGAGACTGGCTGTTAATCAGAGCGACTCAATGACTCTAGTATCAAACCAATTCATTCTCACAAAACAAACAGCATTAACATTTAAGAGTGTCTCTTTGTACTTACGTATGCATTGGCAAACTCAAGTTTCGTTCCCTTTAGGTCGACTTTGAACTGAGTGAAAAACAAGTATGATTTCCCCTGAGGCCTGCAAGAAATATGGAAATATTTATCCGTCTTTTAGTCATTTGCATACACTGGTCCACACATTGAATCAGCATGAATGCGTTTGTACACCAGTTGAGGATGTGAGGGTTTATTTTTCTTTATAAAGCATCTGTGGATGTCACAACCGACTACAGTCACACAACGAGCGTCAATGGAGCAGATGGGATGAGAATCTCGGTGAAAAAACAAAGGAACGCTGGGCTGAAAAAGACGGAGACAAAAGAGCGTCTCACCTCCACACACTGCAGGAGAACAGCATGTCATCGTCGCTCAGGCCCACACTCATCAGCCATTGCTGTTTGGCACAAACAGGAGAAAAGTTTTGCTTTTAAATGGGCTGTAATTAAAAGTTGGCAATGTGATGAATCAGTAATAGGCTGACGCCGGGAGTCTCACCTCATTGGTTCCTCCTTGTGAAGCATAAGTGAATGAGCACTCATAATCCTTCTGTAATTAAAGCGGTAGTTAATGCACTGTTGCTATTAATTCGTGCCACACAAACACACTGTAACCTAGCAGACGGTGCAGTCAGCAGCTCCCCGCTCACACTGTGTGTGTGTGTCAGTAATAATCGATAGGTAAAACTGATTAATTTCTATAAATTATTTCTATTTATAGGAGTTGCACTCCAACAAGCTGTGAGCAGAAGTCAAGGAAAAAAATAATAACTGGAGTGATTGATGCTCTTTCCTTCAGGCTGAATATTATAATTCCCTTCAATCACACTCCAAGATAAGAGACAACGCGGTATTGTATAACTATAATTAATTTTCAGAAATAGTTACGCCTGCAGCTGTAGTCCGAGAAAGAGAATGTAATTAGAATAAGTTTGGTTAATGCAAGATTTTATAGGCTACAGGTTAAACTATTAACTCTTCTGATTCAATTCATAAATGAGCACATCACATAACAATTCCAATTTGAGATATGAGATTTTTTTAGAAACGTTCTTTTAGAAAACCGGTAAAAACAGCAACACACTTAGTTTTACCAGATCAGTTAATAAAAAAGTTAAGGGAGTTTCTTTTTTTAAATTAATTTACCGAAAGGCAAAAATATACAGAAAATATTTGATGTGGATGTTCTAACTGAAAATGTTTTATTTATTTATATATATATATATATAAAATGTTTTTCCCCTAATACTGGTTATATCCTACTAAAACATTCCCCGAGTAAATAAATCTGATCGAGATTATAAATCTTATGAGTCAAAGGTCGTTTAAAAAAATTTTTTTTTCGACTTTAGCAAAGTTATATGAGATTCCTCAAACAACAGCTCATTCAATAGAGTTCAGCCAATCAACGGTGCCGTCGCGGCAAAACGTGTCGGCTGTTCACTGGCCATGACGCCATTACCCTGCGACCAAGACGAATGTAGTTTTGTTTACTTCACTATAGTCAACGGTAAATTTGAATTAAATGACATTTAATTGACACTTAAAAAACGCAAAATTCATTTTAAATGAAGTAACTTAATTTTGCTGTTTTAATGGTTGTGACATGTCTTCAAATCTTAACAAGTTATAGCAACATTTGAGTGAATACAATGACGTACATGGCGAATAGGACTTCTTTTATCATTTAAAAATATATATATACCAGTGTCATTTTATCTACTTAAAATAAACATAAATACTGTGGATAGATAGAATAGGTTATTAGAGTTAGAGTAACACCGTTACTTACAATTCCTTCGGAGAAAGTGTGCACCACTCCTCCCGGTTTAACGTTAAACTCTACGGTCTTGGTCTGTTCGGCGGACGTTCCCACCAGGACTGAGGCCGAGAGCACCGCCAGCACAAACAGAAAAGAACAGTTCAAAAAAGCGGCGCTAACTCCTGTAGCCATTTCTTCCTCTTCTGCTGCCAATGGTGGTTTAAAAGGCGATTCAAGTTACCCAGCGGTCCGTCGCCTGCCTGTGACGACACGACGCGTCACCAGGCGACGTCCTGTAATCGAACTTGACATGAAAGATGCTGTCGTCTAATCGATTCTTCCAGATAATTCTTCATAATAACGCAATTACCTGTAGTTCATTAATAATTATTTCAACTAAACTGACCATTCCCCGTTTGGACACGATATGTTTTCACTGTTTAACAGCCGTTACGCTTGTACCAAGTATCACGTTACTTACTATTTACTTCCCGATCTATCTATTCTTTTCAGTGATAGTGATATTTATGCTCTTTAGTGTTGCTAGTATTTATTAAAGCTTTGTTGGAAACATTAACCATGGTTTGGGGGTCTGTAGAGTGGTTGCTGCATTTACGCAGGATGGCCACATGGTGTCGCCTTTTCACAATCCTTCTACTGGCGTAATAAACTAATAAATCTGTGCGTAATAAATCTGTGTACGGTAAAAATATGTGTTCACAGACGTACTATTAAAGCCAATATTGGAAAGTTATAATCGGTGTCATTGACAAATTAGTCAAATACAATTTTGAGGTAAAATATTAATTCATATATATTATGAAGTTTCTTGTGTGTTGTTTTTTTAGATACTGATTTTAAGATCATTTAAACCTTTTACTAGCTCCTTAAAAGATGGTACTATGTTGTATGTTTTTGTATATCTGAGAAATTATAAATGCCATTATTAAACATAATTTATTACAGATTTTGGTGATTTGAATTTTTTTGTGTGTGTTATGACTCATAATTTATTACAGATTTTGGTGATTTAAATTTTTTTGTGTTATGACCTGTGTCATGTTTGTATATATATATATATGTATACTGTACAACACATGCTCATACAGAGGGGGTCAGACAATAACGTTGTTGGACAACTGGTTACCGTATGTGGCCCACACACACTGCAGCCATGTAGTCTAAGCAAACAGCTGTAGGGCCCACATGGACATGTTGGCAGGGCTCCACGTTTATCCCACATAGTAAACTTGACGTACAAGCGTATTCTTCTCAAACAAACAGGTTTTCAGCACATGTACTGTACATTCCTCCTGTTTTCACAGTAGAGCGCCATCTTGTTTCACAGGAGACAGCTAGAGGCTCCCGTCTGCTTCTGTATATGCTGTAGATACATGTGTTTTAATACGGCCGTGTCAGGAGCCGTGGGCCAGCCTCGCCGTGAAGATGAACAGATGATGTTTGGTGTGTGAGGAGACCACTGAACTTTGTCAGACACTTGTGTGTAAAAATCATAAAACAACATCAACATTCAGCCCTAAATCCAGACCCACAGCAACTAAATCCGCCCATCCACCTGTTTGCAGCCTCACCCAGACCTCAGCCAGACCTCCACCCTGTTGACTCCACGTCCCTGCTCACACGTTGTACAATAACAGGATTAATAGCAGCATTTATTGACTGAAACATCCCTTTGGATAGATTTTATATTTACACACTGCAGAACCAGGAGGAAAAGTTTGGGACTTATTTGCTGCACATTATTCTTTTCGAGTGAGGGAAAGTTCCGGATCCTTAATGATGTGTAAACAGCCAGACCCAGAGAGTCGGTGTCCTGCCCAGGTAAACACTTCATCTGTCAGGATGGTGCATGCTCAGCTGTGAAAAACCAGGAGCAGGAGGAAAAAAATAGCACAAACTATTCTCTACAAAGTAAACACAAACAGAATAAGACGTATTCAGACTCCACAGACAGCAGCAGGGCTTTATTATCAGCAGTTTGAGCCATGGTTTTATATTCACTGTGCATTAGAGGTCATGTTACACTTGTGTTACAGCTGAACCCTTGGTTTAACACTGATCTGTGTTTGGATGATTGCTGTAGTCATCACTGGAGGATTCTGATTGTATTGCTCTTTTTAAACCCGTGGGGCGTGGAGCTAAATGACTTCATGCTGACTTGAATGGCTGCTTTATTGTAATATACATTACATTACATTTTATATTGAGTGGACTAAATGTGTATACTCCAATAAACATCTGCAGAAACATTTTCTCCTTCTAAAATTCAATGTTTCTGACCTGAACACATGAACTTTGACTGTTGATTTATCTGCTGGACAAATACAGACCGGCTGACGGTTTTACCTGGGCTTGGAATGAGATCATCTTAGAAAAGTCCTGGTCCCAGACCACAGAATGTTTCTGCTCAAGTATTTATTAATTAAACCCAATCGCCTTCTGTTTTCCAGCTCTTGTCCACCAGCAGTTCTCAACACCACCACAAGGATTCTAAAACAAGTCTAAAGACGCAGAAGTGTCTAAAAATAAAACAGGTCATCGTTCACTGTTCCACCGTCTAAAGACGCAGAAGTGTCTAAAAATCGTTCACTGTTCCACCTTCACTGTTTGACTTCTCTCTCACACTGTCCTTCAGTTACGATGTGATCCACTGCTCCCCAGTGACTCAGAAACCCATTACTAAAAACTACCAGAAATCCAAGATCCCATTGGCCTAGATTGAAGGGACACATCAGGGGACGGAGGACTAACCACAGTCATTATTGCCATTTTGTCTGTACAAGCGCTGCTGCTGCTGCTGCTGCTGCTGCTGCTGCTGCTGCTGCTGCTGGTCACCACCACAGGTCACAGCAGTCCTGACTGTTGGCTCTGACACTTGTTGACCAGGAGTCTCAGACAGTCAGGCCTCTTTGGAGGAGCCTCACAGACAGACAGACCGTGATAAGGATGCCTGGTTTGCTTATGTCAGCAGTTTGTAGTCAGGTTTTCCTGGCTGGCTGTGGATTTGTGGAATTTCTCTCTTCCTTGTCATGAACAGCAGGGCCGGCCCGTCCTGCATACCCTGTAGGCCCAGCACGCTGGCCCGCACTGAGCAAACAGTAGCTGTAGCGGTGGAGGAGTGAGTCTTCATCCTGACCTACTGTCAGATTAAATCACTTCAGAGGGCTCACCAGGGGGGGGGGGATTTGTACAATGGTTTATTCCCACTGTTATGTGGACAGACAGTGATTTCAAATTTTCTTCTCAAGACTTTTTCTGTGTATTCCCTTTTGTCTGATTTCAAAGACAGGATATTGATTTATCTCCCTTCAGTAAATGATCCATACACTGGGGTTTACACTGAATAAAGTGCCTTTTCTGAAACATTTCATGGATTCTTTACTTCATTTTTATCATGTGCCCAGAGGGGTGAACCTAACTATATTAGGGGCTTTACAGTGGACTAGTGGTTAGTGTTGTAACCTCACAGCTGAAAGGTCACACGGTGTTTGGTCAGACGATGGTCAGACGATGGTCGTTGCCTGTTGACTTTGCGTCTTCTTCCTGTTCTCTGGATATTCCGAGTTTCTTCCACCGTCCAGAAACAGGTTTGGATTAGAGTATCTGGAGGTTTAAGGTGAGTGTGAACGGCCGTTTGTCTCTGTTCGAGGCACAGTAATGGAGGGATCGTCTGCCGTCATTAACAGGATAAAACGGCAGAAAACTATGGATGAATAAACATCCTGCCACCTGACGGGGATCACTGAGAGGCTTTGGTGGGAATCAAACCTTCTCCTGCTGTTATGTGACATGCATTAGGGGGAGTTCCTGTTTATTTACCTTCCTATTTCAGGAAGAAAGGATGAAAGGTGGCGCTGAATCAAATAAAGGTCCAGACAGTCTAAAACAGTCAAACCACTCATTTTTTTATATATTTACCATGGGAAGACCGTGACGTGATGTATTTGTGCTGGACGGCACACTTCAGCTCTGCAAAAGGAATAATTTGTATTTAAGAAAAAAAGACTTGTTAGAGTGGTTATTTATACATTTCCACGTACCAATTACAGGGAGTAAATCTGGTGACAAAGTGTAAATAGAGCGAAGCATTCCCAGACACCTCGTTTGGAGTCGAAGCCGTGTGAATAAATGTTTTCTCAATCACTCACCCGCTGTAACGCAGCATGACCAACAACAGCAGGCCCGGGGAGTCCAGCTGCGTGGCTTCCAACAGGCACAGCACACACATGCAAAGTGGAACCATTTTCATGTGGTTGTGATTCCAAAAGTAACTAAGACATTCATCAGCTCGGCCTATTATTAACAGACAGTGTTGACAGTGAATGTGCAGTGACTTCATGTTGTGAATATTCATTTTTTACTGTTTTTTTTGTTTTGTTTCCATCACCAAGAAAAACATCTCAGCTGTCAGTCGGATTTTTGTCGGTTTATTAACAGAACATATGTAACAAGATATACAGTTTATAATGGAGTCAGTCAGTCAGAGCCGACAAATGAATGATTCTGTTTTCTCAGGTTTTAATTTATTTATTGACACAGTAATATAAACAGAAAGCGGCTAATGAATTAAATATGACTTGAAAAAGAAGAGGAGAGAAAGTAGGTACCGTTAAAATATATCACATTAACTTAACAAATGGTAAACCCTGGATTTAAGGATTTATTACAATTATACGTGTTGTGTGTGATGTTTTGGTTCATCGTGTCGTAAACATCTTTATAAGATTTGCATTCCATAAATAACAAGTGATAAATAATATTTCTACAAAGAGGAAATATCTAGTCTTGGTCGTTTAATATGTATAAATACAAACAGTAATAAAGTTTCTACAAACGTTGTATTGAAATGTAAATCTAGGTCGTTCTTCATGTCTAACGTCGTCTTCACTCAGGTCAGCTCCTGTCAGACATAAATAAATAACAGACGCTCAGGGTTCTGTTTTCTCTGTCCTGGTGGAGAGTGAGAAGGTTCTTCCTTTAACTCACAGCGTGATCCTGCAGTTCCTGGCCTGGACGTAGGTTCCTGTGTATCTGATGTCACAGCGGACCTCATTGTTGGAATAGTCCGACTCTGGGACCAGCTGAGAGGGGTTCACTGTCACCTGCAGCAGCAACAATCAGACAGAAGTGTGAAATGTAAATGTTTTAGTGTGATTGTCGGTCAGCTTCTGGACCTGCTGGAGAGAAGATAATTTTATGTTTTTCTTTCGAATCACCTTCAGTATGTAGTCTCCTGGTGGAACGTCAGTGATGTCGATCCACTGACAGTCAATGTTTGCGTGATATGTGTCGTAGCATCCAGGACTGAGACCCTGATGGAAACGCAGACTGAAATTAGAATCCTTCTTTACATTAAGAAAAAGTCATTAGTAACGTGCTGTTACCACAGGAGACCACTGTGGGGCGCTGTGAGAATTTACTGTAGGAAGATATGGATATGAAAACAACAACAACACCTGGTTCTCACAAAAAGAACCATAGACTACTTTGACGAACCTGTGTGTGCGTAGTGCAGGCAAACCGCCGTCGAACCCCCGGGTCACATGACGTGTCCTCCAGACAGAAGCTAGCCTTGTGTCCCTCGGCGACCTTCTCTTCAGTGGAGGCGTCCAGCAGGTCGTAGTTACTGAAGGCCTCCATGCTGTGGTAGTGTCTGCAGCCAGAGACACAGACGGTTCATTACTGCAGCTGTAGGAACAGTGACATCTCCAGGACAGTCACAGTCAGTGTGAAGAGGGAAGGGGGGGTGAGGGGCTGGGGGGGGGCAGATATACCACACCATACAGGCACTACAGTGAGTACAGACAAGCTGTTTAATTGGGACCCATGCAAGAAGGAACATCTTTATCAGGAGTGTTGGATAATAAAAGAATAATGTTGGTTCTGACATGGAGTTTACTAATTATAATTAATATAATGAATAAAATAATATGTCACGTGTCTGGCCCAGACGACTGAACATCTAGTGATGACATTGTCTGATCTTGAAACTTACAGGATATGAACTTAAGGGGGGGCTAGAAAGAGGTTTTTAAACACTGAGCTGATGATCAGACACCAGACGAGTCAAAGTTATTACTTATTATTATTATTATGATCTTCCAGGTGTCTTCATGACAGTTAATGAAGAGTCAACTCACTGATGACAGCTGTGCCATTCCCACTCGTGTCTGGGCCTCACTGGGAGGAAGTCTGCCGTTCCTTGGTTCTTGACCCGCTGTGGGAACCGCAGCAGGACTCTGTAGTCCAGGTCACTCACACTCGGTTGATACGCAGACCTGAGAGGAAGGGAAACGGCCCGGGTGTGAGGGTCGATGACCTCAGGTGTTCTAACAATCGGCAGCACAGACAGTCTGTGGTCTGAGGAGGTTCACTACGGTTTGGCAGCCTATAGCTGCCCGGCGGTTGCCAGATTTGTGTCCAGCCCCTCTGCACTACAATGCCACTGAGCCGAGGCCTCCAAACAGATCAGACACCAACACATGAAAGAAAGCCTGAATGTTTGTCATAGTTGAACATGACGGAGCATCCAAAAATAATGTGGTGAAGGGAAACCAGCCAGGGTGTGTGAAAATAATAATAAATTATTTTTTTAAGCACAGGGGAATGTCTCAAAGTCAGACGGATATATTTAGATTAACAAAAAAGAATTTGACCTGGACAGACAGTTTTCCTCAGCAGCGCAGCGCAGTGCAAACATCTGCATTCTTTGGATGTAGGAGGAGGCCTGGATGTAGTAAGGATCTGGAACAAGGTCCGGGAGACCTGCAGAGAAGAAGTCTGTAAGGGTTGGTCTGATTGATCCGTTATTGTTATCATATCTTATCGTCGTTAAAAAATACTGAAACCAGAGTTATAAAGGAATGAGAAATTGTAGGACCTAAAAATAGTTGGTTTACACCTTAAATCATAAGAATAAGATCAACAACAATAACTCTTTCTTCTCTTTGAACCCACCATTGTGGAAGAATCTGGTTCCGTAGCCTGTCCCTGGTGAAGGACGCTCAGAGTTCCTGTTTCTCAGGTCCGGAGGGTAAACGTTATAGAAAACCGAGTTTCTGTGGTAAATACTGTGTGGATCGCTTGGGTCTCCCATGTTTCTTGACTGATCCGGACCCGGACCCGGACCTGAACGAGGAAAGTGGACTTCTATGTCTAACGCGTTGTCGTAAGATCCCGCAGGGGAAACGTGTGCCTCCTCTGTTGGACTGAGAGCATCATCCACGTTACTGTGCTCAGGGATGCGGCGGTCGTTCCCACTGACATCAGTCCCAGGCACGGACACAGATGATCTGGCAATTAATTCGGACCTCTCGGGTCTCATCCAGCTCCCACGGCTGTGAGTTAAGTCGGATTGTCTGATCCGCGGCGCTGCGGCGTTATCTTCAGCTGTACTGCGACCACCATGTGGTACTCCACTGCCCGAAAAGTCCGGTATGACCGCGGCGCTGCCGTTTGACGTAGTCCGTTGTGAACGATGTTCAAAAGTCACGAAGTCTCCAGTAGACGCCACCCGCGGTGGAGCCCGACCGAGTGTCCCTGGACGTCCAGAGAGCAGTAAGTACTGATCTCCATCCGTACCCAGAACAGACGCGTCACTCTGCAGAGAATGGTCCTGGGTGTCTGCTAACCTGGTTCTGGTGATTCTACTTGGTGCCACCAGAACACCGGCTCTGTTGGTATAACTGTTTGTTGAGGTTGGTAACAGTTGGGTTCTTCTTCTAGCCTGGGAAGACGGTCGATACTGAGTCCCAGTGCTGAGAAGGCTGAACCGATTACCGTTGTTTTCCCACTGTATCCGGTGTCTCCACGGTCCGACGCGTTCGCGTAAAAGGTGCTGAGCGGCACCTAAACGCACCAGGGCATCAAGAAGGAAGATCACGAGAAAGGTAAGTTGCCCCATGATCCAGGTCGATGTTGCCTCCGGCTGAAGGTTTCCAGCGCCGAGACATTAACGAGGAAATGGTGAGTTTGACACTTGTTGTCACACAGATGAGGGCAGCATCATCACGGAGAGTTTTGTCAGAGAGAGTTCTCTGTTCTCTCTGTGGTGTTGGTACATCCACACCCATCCACGCCCCGGAGCTGTGCTCACTCTCTCCTGTCACAGGTCACAGAACAGGGGGCTATTTATCAACACCCTCTTATTGAAAAACTCACAAGAAAGTACATTTAAATAAGTTCGCCGTTTGTCGTGGCGCACAGGGTTGTTCAAACAAATAATCCCAATAATTATCATGGACTTTATACTGATCATTATTGACACTTTGGCGGTGACAGTCCTGCAGGTGAAAGGTGCCGTGTTTTTTACTTACATCATTTAAAGTGAATCTCTGAAAACAGTTTGGCGGTGACAGTCCTGCAGGTGAAACGTGCCGTGTTTTTTATTTACATATTTAAACACATTTAAAGTGAATCTGAGTTTTTAAGGTTTAATCAGATCTGTTACGTCACTGTTAAAACTATCTGATTTGCCATCAACTGTACTCAAATCTATTTATCCTTCACTCAAGTTGAAAGTCCCACTTTTTACCACACGGTGGCAGTAAATCTTCACAGATCGTGACGTTCACTGCCTGCTGAGCTACGATTGTGAACTGGCAGAAAGATGAACGAAGACGCATACCGGGTTCTAGTTTTTTTTTTTTAAGTTTCGCTCTAATTATCTGCCTTGAGACCCACTGAAATAAATCGATTTTTAACTCACAACCAAAGGATTTACTGTTTTCTTTTTTAACAAACAGAATCTGTAATTTATATTACTGTAGGCTGTAATTACGTATATGGTCAATAATATCGTCAAAATGGCTGCTAAAGCTAAACAGGTGTTTTGCTAAATGCTGTATGGGTTTAGCATTAAGCTAACTGTAACGAGTGAGAGCCACACACCTCTGAAATCAAAGTTTTCTACATCTAAATTCAGTTTATTCCAGGTGGGTTCTTTTTAGGGAAATGTTTGTCAAACACACACGGAATCAGTTCCAAAATAAACGTTTTGCCCAAATACATCATGTTGTCCACAATGTATGATGAAAAAAGCAAGGTAAAATGTTGGATAGCAACTGATTACCACCAGGTTTCACTGCTACTTTTCTAGGAGTAAGGTGTAATTTTACATTTTAACTAATCTATCCATCACTGTTTACTAATGTAAACTAATACAGAGTGTTAAAACCAACACATCTAATTACTCTGTACACAATACAACAACTTTTCTATGCTGTTGCCCTTCAACATCCTCCAGTTTGATGTGTTAAACAGAGACCGTCATAATTTATATCCTTATCTATTTATAGAATTCATTAATTTACAACACTTTGTTCTTGTCACTGCATCATGTTCTCCTCCCTCACACAGTTGGACAGAACACACAACCAGCAGGTCAGCAGGAGGTGGAGGTCCAAAGAGTTTTTTTTTTCTTTTTTTCTTCAACTACTTTTTATTTATTTAATTCTTAACTCCATACCTTTGAGGTTGTTATAAAAGAAAACAAAGACTTAACTCCAGGTCATACAGCAGATACTGTGTACACCAGTCTATTCATGTGCTCACGACACTCAGATTTGTCAGCTGACTCTAAGTAGGTGAGAGGGTACTCCACGCTTCCTCGCTGCAGGTACGTGCTGACAGACCTGGAGGCAGCGACATGGTGCAGATTATGAACGCATTGTGACAAAGACAGTCACCATACCAGCCGTGGGAGGAAGTCCAACTTCATAAAACGTTCCTCCGACCCTACAAGCCACACCTCCTCATCATCCACATCTCCAAATATATCCTCACGCCCTGGTTGGCACGCAGAGCCTCTCAACAATGAGGACAAATCTACGAGGGAGATTGAGAAAGAGGAGCAGAGTGTGACTGTGGTGGGTGGAAATCACGGGTCTGTTTGGATCAGACAGGCTGTGACTGCAAGCCTGGTGGTCTCTCTTCTAACTGCACACTGGTTTGGAACGATGTTCAACACGAGGTCTCATCAGGCCACCAATGGGTTTCTGTTATGACTTCCATAGTAGTTGCTGAAGTTCTTTTATTTACTTTTTTGTAACTTTGTGTAACATATACAATAACATTAATTGAATTAGTGTTTTTTATACGTTGGTTTAACTTGACATGAAAGATGTGGACAGTCGGCAGCTGTCATTTTGAATGCATCAGGGTGTTATAAATATAAACATTGCATCTTCTTACGCTCTATCGTCAGGCAGAACCCCATGAACAAACATCACCGCTGGTGCGTCAGCAGCACAGTTCACCCAGGCTGTGGGTAATGAGGTCAAGTTTGTCCAGGGAAGTGTCTAGACAGGATTTGTTTTCTTAAAGGGTTTCCCCTACCCTAAAGGCAGGTCAAAGTACTGAAGCCACTGTTCCACACATGCCTGTGTAGATGTTGACAACACACACAATCATAAGTTAATGTAAACCTTTGATTCTCATCTTTGAGAAAATAAATATCTTTGTAAGGCTACATGTTTTATAGATGTTGTCGTTTGTCCTTGAAAACACAGACCCAGGTGTCATTTTTAGCACCCTATGTTCAGTGCTGCATGGTTTCGTCAACGTTCATCTGTTAGAGCGTCACAGCCATAACCCTGTCACTACGTTTCCTCATGACATGCACACAACAGATTACAGGTACACACAGCTGATGATACGTTCTAGATTAACCAGTTCATTAACCAGTGTAACCATTCAGTGAACTCTAACAAAACAAATTCACAGAATCCATCCTGCTGGATCAGATAATGACCCAGTTTCACATCTGCAGAGGCGTAAAAACTCCTCCCTACTGATTAGGCCCAGCAACTGTGTAAACACTTTTCAAGCCCACACTGACTTTGGAACGTGCAGCAGAAATACTCCTGCACTTGAATTCACTTTGGAAATGTTTGACCCCTAACAGAGAGTACACGCTAAAGTGGCAGTGCGACGAGTCATTCCCCCAGTGGTAATTAGGAATCACTCTGGCCTATTTTTATGTGTAGGAATACATGAGCGCAGCACGTGCCTCCCTCCTCATAAGCTGTAAATCCTACACTAATAAACTAAATCATGTGAAGAATCTTTGACCTATTAGGTTCTCAAGGCAGGTGGGGGCAACTAAATATACTGTATATAAACTACAGTAAAGAACTCCCCAGAAACACCAGAGAACACCGAAGACAAAGTTCAATATTTCAGCATTACAAATTTTAAATGTTCTACCAAGAACTCCCCAGAAACACCAGAGAACATCGAAGAAAAAGTTTAATATTTCAAATGGTTTGGTAATATTGGTAATAAATGGTAATATTTCATGGTTAAATAAATAAATTTAAAAGAAATGTGGGAGACGTTTCCTGTTTGTTTAAATGCTGACTGCAGCAGAGTAGTTTATTATAATGACCCACAAATAGTCCTATACTCCCTCCAAGTTATAACAACGTTGTACATTTTAAAATGAAAAGTCCATTGAATTAATATTTTCAATAAAATGCATTACATACAACACACACTTGTTTGTGCTGCAGCTCAGTGAACTGTCAGGCCTCAATGTGAATTGTTTTCATTACATTTTGTGTTGGTGAAATACTTGCTGAAGTCACAGAGAAATAACCACCACTTTTGCACAACTGACATAAGGATGACATTAATAAAATTTAGAAGAGATTAGGGAAGAAATGTACAGCTGACCTGGGAGAAAAATGTGAACTGTATGAATTTTATGTATATATGATTTTTGTAGAACAAAATTGATGACAAAAGGAAAGCATGAAATTGATTAATGCACTGTATCAGTGATACAGCAGTCAATGTTTATTCTGTAGGATTGTAGGACAATGTTCTCGTCAACCGTCCAGTGCAAGTTCATGTTTTAAAACAACAGAATCAGTTAAAACAATCATCTTTTAAACAAACAAATGAAAAAAAAAAAACACCAATCAAAGATGATTTAAAAAAAAAAAGTACAATGATAAGTTAAAATGGTTCTACTATATATACAAAAATAACCAAAAACATTAGAAAGAAAAAAATCCCCACAATATTTACAAATACTGTACAGACAGATCAGAGTCTTCCTGCTGCAGAGAAACAGAGAGAAACAGCATCAGCCAAAACTGTACCAGACAAATGAAGAAACATATTTTCCCCAGACTTTCAATTTGTCCGTCTGTCTTTACCTATAAACGGTTGAGCAGGTTGTTCTGGATGTCTTCATACACTTGGTTGTAGATGTCCTCTTTTGTTTTCAAACCATCCAGGTAGTCTGTGAAATGGACAAAAAATGTCAAACTAACTGCACTAGAATACATCATAAAACCAAAATCACAAACATAGCACTCCAATAAGATGTAAATGCGTCACGTACCAATAGTGATACCACTGTTTTCCATTTCTCTCCTGTGCTTCAGGTACATTGGCCAAACATGGCCATCAAACAGGCCTGGGGGGTCAGGGACGGTGTACTGCCTTGTACTGAACATAACATAACACAAACATAAGTAAAAGCCACAGTACTGCCTTGTACTGAACATAACATAAGTAAAATCCACTGTGATTATGAAAATATTTAAAAGGAAAATGAATTAAAAAAAAAGAATCTTGAAGAAAAATACCTTCTCCTTCTTTTGCACTCCTCGTAGGGAATGGTGATGTAATAGCTTTTGTCAAAAACATCCAGCAGGGGCCTGAGGATGGAGCAGGGAAGCAGTTATGAAAGCGTTTCTATCGTTTCTTATCTACATGTCTGCAGAGCGCCTGACATTCATCCTAGGACACAGTACCAATCACCACCCTACACTAACTCCTGTGACAGCCCCGAGAGCCTCCTTCTAAAGAACCTCTTATCACCAAGTGCAGCAGCAGTCTGGATATAGATGTAAGGGGAAGTGCACACATGACAGTACTTAGCAGGTAAAAACAAATACCACGTGAGAGTACTGAAATATCTACAGTACAAAACGTACTGTCATGGCTGCACCAGAACGTGAGAGCTGGCCTCAACAAAACAACAAAAACAAAACAATAATTTTCACTCTCATGGTTTAGTATATAGTTTAATCACATGAAGAAAATCAAAAATTAAAACCAACCCGTAGTTGTAGAGCAGAAAGCCCTCTACAATCAAAATGTGAGTCTGATTGTCAGGGTCAGCCACATCAGGAGCGGGGGACAGCGTAACGCCGTGAGAACGAGCGAACTTTACTGGGTTCTCCATCCATCCTTTGACTGTGTTTGTCATGGCCTCCATGTCCAGAGCTGTGATCACTGAAAGACAAAGTAGAAAGTGGAAGATGGCAGAGGAAAAAAAAAAAGTTAATGATAAAAAGTGATAAATAATCTGGAAAGTTCATGTTCCTGTATGTGTTTATGAAGTCAGTGTTGTAAAATGCAAACCTAGGTGACTGATCTGCATGTAAGTTGCTGGGTGTATTTTACATTACAATGAGGTAGCTGTGTGAACAGAGGGACAGTGAGTCACTGGCCGTCTTCAGTGAAGTCTTACCATCCCATTGTTTAAAGCCGTCGCCCCCAACTTCTATCTGATCGGTTTTCTGAAATAACAGTCACCAATAAAACATTGCTGCATCCTCACAGCTCTAAATACTTGTAGATCCCACTCACATGCTAGAGTACAGTCAAGGACATACACACACACACAAAGGCAAGGAGTTAAGGTGTAGCTGTAAAAGTTAGTAACTAAGTATATGATCAGGAAACAAGTCCAAGTGAGTCATGCAGGATATATATAAAAAGAGCGGCTGCAGTTAGACTTCAAACCAACCTCAAGATACATTAAGGGCTGCCATTAACGGTTAAATCAACAGTTTGAAACTGCTATGTTTTTCTTATTTTTATCTTAAAATATAAAACAAACTATGTACTATATAAAACAAAACAAAAGTAAACACATGTTTTTAAGGGGCGAAATTGATATAAAACCACAATTGGTTGATTTAAACTATCTGTTGAGGCCTAACATAGAAGCAGGGTGGGGGGAGAGGAGAAACATGTGTCAGAATGGCTGCTACCCTTACATGCACTAAGGTTTGATGAGGACAAGAAGCGTTGAAAACAAAACAAAACAAAAAAAAAACACAATAAATTAAACTCACCTTGTAAAAGTCATCTTGGTGCACAACACAGCAGTTGGGCAACGTCTTGATCAGTTTATTAGTTAAGGTGGTTTTTCCACCATTGGTGACTCTGCAAAAATAAAAGTTAAGGAAAATTAAATTGAAGGAAAAAAAAAGCCCTTTATCAGCTTTACTCTTTTATTGTGGAGTAATTTATGGTAAGCACTCGTACAAATATTTCACCAGGAAACGTGTAGTAAACACAAAGATAGTATCAGAGTACCTTTAATGCTTGATGGCAACCACGTTGTCGTTTACAACAACTGATTAAAACGGCGATTTTAAAGATTGATGAAAGACCTGTCATTTAATGTTATTGTAGTCACTAAAGTGTTTATATGTGGTTTAAACATTAAAGGCAACGCCGGGGCGTCACTAAAGTGTTTATATGTGGTTTAAATATTAAAGGCCGCAACCCTGGTCTGAAATCCCTCCACATTTACATTGAATCAGGCGGTAAATTTTCAAATGTCCCGCTCGTTTGGGGACCGCACACATGGCCTCACCGGATGTGACAGTGGACCGGTTTTACAGACTAAGCTGTGAGTATACGGTGGCCACCTGATAAAGACACGTTTAAAAAGTCATAGATAAGGACCGCGTTTATTTTTTTAAATTACAGCCAACTAAAAATTATAAACATTTAAACTCTAGCTTCTGGTTAAACTGGTGACAGTAATTTTATTGTGCGCTTTATCAGGTACAAGTAACAAGGGTACGTTTTTCAACCAATGTTTAAATAATATTAATATTATACATATATATCTAAACGCGTAAGTGACACATGGGTCTAGTAATACTTTATATTTATCGTTTATATTAAAATTGTAAAAAAGAAAAAAATGTAAATATACTTACCCTCCGATGCCTATGATGAATTTCATGTTCTTTTCTTTTATAGACAGCGTTATTCACTCAAGGAAGACAACTTTTGAAAACGTGGTCAGAGAAATAGCCCTTATGTTTACACTCTTTTAAAATGCTTTATACAGCAACTGGATTTCTCTTCGCTCCAACTTCATTCAAGGAAGGCGGCGAGCAACTGGGCTTTATGCTTGAACTACGTCACACTACGTCACAAGACACGCAGGGCACGCGATGTACTGACGCTACTTTCCAGTCGTACGTGCCCCTTCGGTGACAGCCAATCAGATCCTTTTAAAGTCCTTTGGCTGTCAGCCAATCATAGAACGATGACATTGGCGCCGCTGACTGTGGATGTAAAACACTATGGATGGACTATACGGCTAAACCTCTGTGTGGAAAAGTACGGTAGCTTTCCATAACGTACGGAACAAAGGACACGTACACGTTCATAACAACATCTGACTTTGTTTACACTTAACAGATGTCCGCATGTCCTTAAATGTAAATCCGTATAATTAAAGGAGCATTGTACATTTAATAAAAACGGTTTACCCACCAGCAAATGAATACGTATTATTTTGAGCTGTCTGTTCTTTAAAGTATTAACATAATATGGTATTTTTTTGTACATTTGAATACGTATTATTTTGAGCTGTCTGTCTTTTAAAGTATTAACATAATGTTTTTTTTCTGTGTACACATTAATACATACATTGAAGTGTATATTCCATGTTTACTCATTAGATAGAAATACTTTTAGACAATGACAATAAAGTGTATTGTCAAGAGGTCTACATATCATAGATCATAATCACATTATGTTTCTGAAAGTAGACATGTTGTTATTTCTGCTGTCAAAATTGTTACAACAACAGAACAAATGTAAATAACAAAGTTCCCATTTTTGATAAGCTTTTATCATTTATAAATTTGAGTCAGGACTAAAACAATATACTCAACATTAAGTTTATTTTGTGCCACACATAGGTCTGGTTACAACCTATCATTTAGGTCACATGCAGTGGATTATTGTAACCGTCACCATAATAACCACATTATCTTCCATTGGCACAGCTGTCTTACCCCCTCTCTCACCTCCTCTCCCCCTTCTTTCTCCCACACTGTGACATGGATATTTCTATTTATGTGTCTGTGACTGTGCAATCTGAGTCCTGTGAAAGCCGTCAGGGGTTAAGGGTCTCCGGTCAGGGGGCTCTCCTGGTCAGCATTAGTTTGTAAAGGAGAAGGGGGTAATGGTTAACCTGTGACCGTCTTAAGTCGGTGATGTCACAGAACTTCCCATTCCAAAAAAAGGACGGTCGTCTTGAAACATTATACCGAGCTCGTGCAAGATTGGTTATTTTGATCGGATTAAAAAATACCTTTGGAAAAATAAGAAAATACATGGGGTACTCTTGAAAGTCAAAATGCTGTGGAAATCTATCACTAATGTTAAATTAAACCAGTGCTCATTAGAGTTTGGCTGGAAACATTTATTCACTGTTATTTACGTGGAAGAAACAGAATAAAGCTCAAAATTACAGATCTCTCTCCTTTCTCATTTAATCAAAGCAAATCTTTGTACAGCGGCTGAAAGGTAGGCGGACGAACAATATCTACATATTGTGCTTTTACAGTGACAGAAAGCTTTTTTTTAAATGCAGAAAAAAAATACATAATCTGTTTGATTATTTCAACCTCTTCAAAAAAGGCACTCATTTCAGACTAAAGTGAGAGAGAAAAAAAAACACAAATATATTTCTATTGACAAACTGCATTTGCTGAGTAGTTACTGCCTATGGAAGTTGTCGAGTAAAGTTGGTTTTAAGGTGATGAATTGAAAAGCAGTCTGTTTCCATGATCCACTTCAGTGAACAGGCGACAGAACAAGAGTAATATTGGAGCAGAGCAGGGACTTTACAAATGTGTCAAGTCCTTTACATGAGCACATGCATGCTCTACTAACAGCCTTAAAACTGGAAGATATAAAGTAGACTAAAAATGACTTATAGTCTCCTAAACATAAATCACAATCTGTACATGAAACGTTCTGTAACAACAATGCAAAACTACAGTATCAAGTATACAGGCAACAGAAGGAAGTAGTAGTACTGCACAAAGAACGTTGTGTCTGCTCTGTGTCGCTGCTTCATTAATTATTGACACCAAAAATGAAAGCTGAAAAAAAAGGAGACACCTGGAAGTCTGTAATTCATAGGCACTAAACATGCAAAAACAAAGGATAAACAGTCAGTAACAAAATGAGACAAAGTCACTTTAAGCTACAAGAGGAGCGTCTGCACTGACATTGAATGTCTTGTCTGTTTGGTTGGGACTGATGTCCTTCATGTCTGTGATGACAAAACTAATCTTCTAAAACAAAACCCTGACACAGAACATGTTTAAAAAAAAAACCAAAACATTGTCTTTGCTGTATGTGTGATGTTTTATCTGCTACAATTTTCGTTCTGTGAGACTTAACTCTCACATGTGAAGAACATCTGTGTACATGACCTCAATCACCTGACACCAAATAGAAGCAAATGAAAACAACGGCATTTCTTTAAACATATTTATCTCAGGGTCTGATGCAAATATGTCCTATGACATAATTTCTTTGAATGAAATATATATATATTATATTATATTATATACCCAGGTGACCAATTTAGTTAGCTAAACAAGCTCAGCATCTGGTTAGTTGTTGTTCCTTAACATCCCTGGTCGGTGAAGTCACCTGCTATGTCTACTTAAATAAAAAATAAAATAAATGCATTTTTCAATAATTAAAATATATCTATAAAAAGACAATCTAACAAGTACATCTACCACAAAGTGCAGTTGATTTTCTCTCATTACTGAAAACCTGATGAGTCCAAAAAAAAAAAAATCTGATGCAGCCAAAATACATCACTTTTTCTCCTGTTCCAGTTAATTCTATACATGTTGTACAGTGATCATGCTGTGGCCAATACAACATGATGCAACATTTAACGTAAAGACCTAAGGTCACAGCAGCAAGGCAAAGAGCAGATGAACATGTGTGTCAACAACAGTTTCTATTTACTATCAAACAGTTCAGTGCAGCTGTGGTTTCACCTTGTCTCCACGTTCAAACCTCTCGGGATGAGTGAATAAAGAAGTTCCAGGGCAGAGGGAATAGAGATGGAGCAGGAACTGCTTGACATTCACGTGACGCTTAAACTAGATCCAGCCGGATGTTGAATGACATGGAAGCATATGGCGACTCCTGGCAGTTTTCTGTAACTCTTACGGATATACAGTATATATCAGAGATTTCATGCTCCGTAATTCTGTCACAACCTGCAGCGAAGAGAGAAAAAAATGGCTGCGATAAATGCATTGATATACGTTCAAGAAACTTAAGGTCATTTTAGGCTCTTGATACAGTTTCGTCATTTAAGTATTTTCAAGCCGTGACCAGCATTTGGAGATGTGACACAAAAACAATTATTTTTACACAATAGTGTGTTTGAGAATTAACTTATTGCTTCCCTTCTAAAGAAGTTACAGAAAGTAACAAAGTATTTATAGTGATATAACAATCAACCGTTAATCTGACTTTGAGCTAGGCCTTAGTGCCACCTTGTGGACAATAACTACAGCTGTATTTGTGATCCTTACTTGCAAAACTCCAGACCAGACCGTCTCATAAGCCTTTGTCCACGATCATAGACTTTGGCCTGAAAAGAACGGAGGGAAAGAAAGAAATATTTTATAAAGATGAAAAAGAAAAATATATAAAAATAAAATGTATGTGGGCTGAAAGGAAATAATGAAATAAGAATTTCATAAGGAAGGAGAAGATGGTGGAGCAGCACCTCACAGACTTTTTAACTGTCTCCTCTTGAACTGCCTGCTGCTCCTGCTGTCTGGACTCCTGCTCCATTCTACACACACACGCACGTACAGTATACACACAGTAAAAAAAAAAGTAATATAAAATAAAAATAATATACTTTAAGTTTCAGTAAATATACTATTTAAATTAATGAAAGTATGATCATATTTACCTTTCTTTTCGTGCTTTAATTCTTTCTTCGTCAAATCTGAAAAAGGAAAGAGTATTTTATCTCAAATTGTTTTTCGAATAAGACTTTTTTTTAAATATAAAATCAATCTTTTCGGTTACCTATTATATATGCCTGGATTCACATATGACGCCTATGTTGCTATATTTACTTCTCCAGCTCTTTATTGCCATCTAGTGGTCAGAAATACTTACTGCACTACACACTCCGGGACATGGACGTGCTCCATGGGGACGATTTCCGCCAGTTCATCCAGACTGTGCACATACTGGATCTTGTTCATGAACTTCACACTATAGAAATGATGGAGGGATTGTTAGTAAAAAAACTGGTTATTGTAAAAATGATGGAGGGATTGTTAGTAAAAAAAGGTTAGTCTATAAAACATAGACCTTAAATACAAACAGAAGATCATATTTCATGTTTTAGTGACGCATGTCAGAGATACTGCGGTGTCATTGTTGACAGTTTCGGCTGATAATGACTGATGCTGCATTTTGTATTCGGAAATACGCATTAGTAAAAAATCATTTCCATTTCTGTACCATGAAAATATAACAAACAAACAATAACATTGTCACACATTTTTAGCCATAGATGCAGTCAATAAAGTCGTCGTTGGCTTTGTGCTTTAATTTGCACCAATATATACGTCACCTTGTCTCATTAAAGTCGTTTTTGTACCTCACCTGATAAAAGGTCTGGATATGGCCAGAACGGTGCGTATGAACCACGTGGGATGAGCAATGACCAGAGACTTCAGGTTCTTCCTCAGTCTGCCATCCAAACACAAAAATTTAGGGTCAATTATTGACATTTATATAAGGAAAGGTTTTATATATATATATAAAATTCACCCACCGTCTGTCAATCATCTGGTAACACTTCTTCAGCCAGCTGATTCCAGGCATCTTACTGCGCGGAGTGGCTCCGTTCATGTAGATGATCAGGTAATCTTCAGCCACGAGCATCTCCAGGCTGCTCACCACATACCTGGGGAAGTGTAGATGAATGAGCTTTGTTTGATTTTTTTTATTTTATTTTAATGGTCTGTTTTTATATTTGAAATCATAACGACAATTATCTTAAAAAAATGAACTGTCAAACCCACAGAAAGAGGTTTTCCATGATGTAGTGATAATCTGGACAACTGCTGTCAGGCAGGTAACAGGCAGAGAAGACAATGATGGCATTAAGACCCTCTCCATAATAACCTGATAGAGAGAGAGAGAGAGAAAGAGAGAGAGAATCGATTTTAACTGTTTTATTTTATTATTATCTCAAGTTACTGTGAAGTGATGTTTGAAGGTGACCCACACCTGAAAAAACAAAACAAAAACCAAAAATAATTTCTGTCTTTTCGACTGACCTCCATGTGTGATGACCCGTACGTAGGGTCTGATGACCTGCATGTCGATGCGATGCTCCTGCTCTCCGATGATCACCGTTCTCCACAGACGTCCATTATTGGTGTTCCCCTCTTCATCCACGTCTCCTGAGCCGTCACAAGGACCTGCTTTGGCCGAGGCTACTGGGGTGTCGTCTAAACAGAACAAGGATGTCAGATGTGAGTTGCTTCTATACATGAGCTGCTGTAGTATAAGGAAACAGCCTGACCTTCCCACTCCAGTTCGTTGCCATTCGTGATGAACTCCAGCGAGTCTGTCTCGTCTGGAGTGTCGATGTCGTCGATGTTGATGTCCAGGTCATCCGGCGTGTCCAGAAAGTCGTCCGATAGCAGGGAGCCTTCGCTGTGGTCCAAGGAGAGGTTCATGTCTGGGGCCAGCAGTGTACGGCGTTTACGGTGGGAGGAGGAAACACCACCTCCCCCTCCTCCTCCAGGTGGGCTCACATTCAGGGAGTTAGGAGGCCCTACAGGAACGAGAGAAGAAGAAGAAGAGGAGGAGGAGGAGGTGAGATTGTGCGTGGACTCTTGTCAATCCGTGATGGTCCAGGTTTGGTACTTACAGCCTCGGTGGTCTGTGAGACCACAGGAGTCCATGTCTCCGTCCTCTGGCAGTGGTCTGTCAGACCAAAGGACAAACACATAACAACATCAAGGTCTGGGTACAGTTTGTAATAGACTGAGTTAATATGTAGTTAAAGGAAAATCTGATACTTTTTAGCATCACTGTCAGTTTATACCACCTCAGGTTAGACGTTAAGTTGTTGAATGCTGAAATGTCCGTTTGTTTTGGGAGAGAAAACTGATGTAACTGCTGTTCCGCACTGTTTGTAAACTGAACATGTTTTCAACATGAGTCCCGGGCTGTTCCTCCTCCTCTTCGTCTGCATTGTCGACCGTTGTTTCTACAATTTTTTCGCAATCAAAGACGGTAAATATCGACTACGGTAGTCGCTAAGCTAATCCGTCCCGCCGCTAAAATTGAGTGTGGTCACGTGACGAGACTGCGCGGCCAGGACTACGTTTTATTGGTTAAACACAGTGACGCGGTAGAAGCTTGGGCGGAAGTGTACCTCTGACATGTCTATGTCCACCTGTGACAAAATAAAAGTACAGATACTGGATCATGGATGAATAGAGAACTGGATACTGGAAAACTAAAGCTTTATCCAGTATCTCTGATAAAAGTAACGAGCTCAGTATAGCCTAATGAAATCTACTCAAGTAAAAGTAAAAAGTACAGTGATTTAAAAAATACTCCTAGAAGTATTTTATTTTGTAAAACTTACTCAAGTAAATGTAACGTAATCGTTACTACCCACCACTGACTTTAACACACAGTGATCTATAACTTTAACTCTCCGTAACGACAATTAAAAATTGCAATTTAAAATGTAAAATACGACATGTCCTTGGACCAATCAGAGCACCGATGCTGTCACTGATCTGCTGAGCACAGAGCAGCACACTGAGCTGAGGAGGACAGAGGTGGTAATTAATGTCTCTCCAGAGAGTCACGGAGATTATAGAGCTGCCACGGTGAGGGTATGGGGGAGAGCAGGGAGTAAGGGGGGGAGAAATAAACCCAAGAAGGGTGACAGACAGTGGAAGAATGACTCTGTGTGTCAGAGCCCACAGTTAGGTTCTGCACCTCTGATATTTACTGTTGACAACCTGCACTGAGAAGGAGGAAGAGGAGGAGGAGGAGAGAACCAGTGGCTTTGCTTAAGAGTTTGCTCAGCTTTAATTGTCAGTTGTGGTTTTTTTAAGCAAGCTAACAAATATTTTAGGAGCTACGAAGCTGTTCTTCTCTACAGGATGAGCTTTAGCCGTGTTTCAGTAAAATCCAACTGTTTAACCCACCCATCTGCAGGAGGACAGTGTGCAACAACATGTTTTTCCCCTGAGCCAACAGCACTGGCTTCAGCCCAAAAGAAAAAAGCAGGATTTGATGAACAGTCTGCATCTATTTCCCTCAGGAGCCCCGTGGTGATTAATTATTCCATGTTTCCTTTGTCAAAAAAAAATAAAAAAATGAAGCACTTCTACATAAACCACAGACTGAAATGGATTTGGTCGGTTTCCCTGAAAGCCTAACAGTCTTCCCTTTGCTACTGATTTCTGCTGCATTGTCCTTCAGTTATGTCAATAACAGGATGAACCAGCGACGCTTACCTTCTAGAGAGGGAGAGAGTGAGTGCAGAGGCTGCTCTGGCCAGTCGATTAGAATGAGATCTTTACCCTCACGAGGCTCTGTGTTTGCTCTGCCTAATCATCGCCTGTGTTGTCAGCTGATAAGAGATGATGCAGAGCTGAGCATCACCGTGAGGCTGCCACATCATCCATTTACTGTTGCCAAGTCCTGCGTCTGTGTCTGCTGTCAACCAAAACCTGCCACCATTTTCCTAGTGATGCTGTGTTGTTGATCTGTGACTGCTGTTGCGTCACGTGACGTAGACTGGGACCATTTACAGACAGACGCTGCACCTGCTCCCTGGCTTCCTGATTCTCATCAGATGAAGGAGGAGGGAGCGGGGGGTGGAAGGGGAGGGGAGGAGGAAGGATGAGGAGGAGGGAGGAGCTCTACCAGGCAACACACTTCTCTGCTCTAATTCATTCCCACCTGTCTTTAAATTTAATGATTTAAGCATCAAACAAACTGGACTTTCTACACTTTTTAAAGGTCCTCCTTATGCACTAAGAACTCATTTTTTCTCCTCCAACCATTAATCTTTTATCAGATGTGCTCTTTATACTGTATATTAAAGGAAATGTTTAGGTAATATTTACACAAACCATACAGTACTGTATTGATACTGATCTATTAGGAGGATGCCTCATCTCCATATATGGTCATGTCTCCCATATATGGTCTCAAATAGACAAAATAGACAACAATGATTTTTTTCTTTTTTTGTTAATCCCACCTGACAACATTATTCTAAGAACCAACTGTAAGGTGCAGAAATTAAAGTATTTGATGAAAATAAATGACAGCAGAATACATCATCAGTTTCCATAGTTTTGTAGCAGAGTCTGAATTGTAGGGGAAACAGTTTAAAAAAATCTGTGCATATAAAAAATAATTTAAGTTTAGTTTGAGTTCAGTCTCAATGATCAGGAGTCAGAGGCTCAGTCATTAAAGATCAGTCTAAGTCACGACTGAGTCTCAAAGGTTTGCAGTTGAATTTTAAAATTTAAAATTATTAAAATATCAAATATAAATTCAGGATCAGATTAGGATCAAAGGTTTGCAGTTGAATTTTAAAATTTTAAATTTAATTCAGGATCAGATTAGGATTAAATGTCAGTCCTTAAATTTAAGATGAAGTTGAGTATTTATAAACTGGACTGTAATTTATTCAACAACAACATTTCCATGCTGTGAAGTCACACACATTGTGCCTTTAATACAAAGGTGTTTGTCAGTAAGAGGTTCCAACCTCCTAACACACACACACACAAAAAGACCCTGGCAAATAGACACAAAGTTGAGCCTGACCTGGGGAAGTCTTCGTCCTGCCACTCGTCTTTCACTTCCATGTTTTCCATTCGTAGTGTTGCCTCTGTGGTGCCCATCCCTCAGCCAGGACAGAAGGGTCCAGCAGGGGCCTGTGGAGGGAGCGGAGAGTGATGGAAACCATTTACAGAGACAGCAGAAACAGCTGCCAGGTAGGAAATAAATGCATTTGACATTGAGCTTGAACGGTTTCACCACAGAGACACGTGTTTGAAACGGGAACAAATTCAGGTCTGTGTTGGATTTTTGTTGTTTCGAGTTTTGTCCTTAATTCTAATGCAATTTAAGAGGTGATATCACCGCTGTCACATGGTTTGAATTCCCCTGCTGCCAGAGCACATGTGAGGAGCATGTGATGGAGTCAGACACAATTTTACCCTTTCAGCTTAAAATGTTACAGTTGCACTTTCGCTTATGGATAAAAGCGAAGCGGTCAGTGTGGAACATAAACCTCAGGTATAATCCTACTGTATTGCCTTTTAACCCCATAGATTATTGTTTATTAATTTACCTGCTTTCTTTTCATCTCTCCCCACAGCCATAATGTGACCACTACACTGCATATATCTCTGGTTATGGGAGATATGAGACATGTGGCATCGCAAAACCAGAGTAAAATTATGACAATCTTACAGCAACAATCAGAGACATGTGGCATCGCAAAACCAGAGTTATGACCAAAATTATGATAATCTTACAGCAACAATCCCAACTGCAAGAGAATGAGAATGAATGTGACATTCTGTGACTTTATGTAATCACTAGATGGTACGTGGTGATGTGAGTGGTTTTGGCAGCAGAGAATCAAGATTAAAATCACTATTTAATATTGCATGTAAGTAGATGTATTTCCTTTTACACATTTATATATATATATGTCAATAAAAAAGACATTTTCCCTGAGTCAATAGAACATTTACTGGATATTCAATATTTCTTGAAAGGAAACACATTAAACATGCCATTATACTCACATTAGAGGTGTGGGATCCTTGTAAATCCTCTCAGAGGTCCGTGGATGCGTGTCCTTTCTCTTGCAAACGATACACCCGTTTCAGGAAGGACGCTTTTGATTTCTCACAACAGCACAGAGTCATGGAGAGTCGTACAATGTCTCCTCGCCTTCCTTGTCTTTTGACTAATTCACATGCACAAACTCACACGCAGAGACACAGTCGTATACTGTCTCCAACGTCAGCCATGAGCCAGCAGCAGGTGTCTGAAGACAGGGGTAATCTCTGTGCTGGACTAGCAACAAGCCCTTCTTCTCCCCCAGCCCCTGACTCTGGGCACCTTCTATTGGAGAAAGACTGACCGTGAAGAGGGAGCCGACAGCCTGCCTCTCAGCATCTACATCCAAACCAGTGACACAAAAAAGTCTTAAATGTGGCTGCATCTGCTCTGGCACTGCAATCTTCCTCCCTCTTTCTAGCTCCTCTATCCTTGTTCTGCTAAAATTCCTCCCACACTCTCACCTCAAAATAAGCTCAATTTCTACTTTTATTTTGTCTCCATCAAAATTCCTCCACAAAGGCTTTTTTTTTTTTAAAAAAAAATCTCTTCTTCAGCTTGGGGAAAAATAAGCACCAGTCTCAGTCATTTTACTTCATTACTGCCTATTGGTCCAAAGCAAGGCTGCAGTTCCCTGGCAACAGCATCTTCCCTCCCTCACTCCATACCCTCACTCTTTCTATAGTCCAACCGTTAGTGCTAATATAGCTCAACCCTGTCCAACAAATCATAATTATTTATTCTACCTGATTCACTGCAGCGGTATTTCTATTGTGGGCTTTGATTGAGTGAAAAATACAATATATCAAAACATTACCCTCGTGGACATTGTGAATCAGACGTTGTCTGATTGTAGGAGCTAAAAACGATTTGGTGGGTGAACTTCAGGTAAACCTTAATTTGAAATCCGGAAGTACTTCTTTATAAAATTGATTAGCTTGATTAGCTTAATCATTATTTGTGATAACAATGTTCTTCAAACCAATGTTTCAATTATCATTTATTTGGGTGACTGTATTTAAAAGTAATATTTTTTCAGTTGTCGGATCTGCCGCTACTTTGTCATAAATAAAAACTGCACTCATATATCATGAACAAATCTTCCACCAGGCAAACACGGCTAGCAGCTGTCTTCACCGCAGTTTTGGTTGGCAGGTTTGCGATAGCTGCTGCGCAACGTGATTGGCATTCAGCAGATTCCGCAGAAGACGGCACAATTAAGACAAGAGAATTACCTTTAACCTTTTTGTCTTTTCGTCAACTCAACTGAAGTTACGCAATGTATATAGTGTTTGTTATCATTATAATGATTTAAAAGTAGACAAATCGTTCAGAAAGCCGGCTTTATACAGCTAATAAACCAGAGGGGTTTCAGGAAATATTGCATTTAGTTGCATCGTTAATCCATGAAGGGTATCATATTTTGTTTGCCCAAAAGTAGTCCGGAGAGGCGTTCCCTGAGCCGTTTTCGACGTCATGAGCGTAAGGTTGGGGGAACTATCTTGACCTTATTTTCTAGCCGGTGTCGCCTTCGCTGGTGTCCACCGCCGAGTGTCGGCCGTTTAAGTCCAGTGGAGGTGCCAAGATGGCTGCAAGCAATTATTTCGGCTTCACACATGGTGCAGCCCCGCAGTACAGGTAATTTGAGCGAGACGGGATAGTGTCAGCACGTCTAATGTGTTATTACACATGAATCACGGCTGTATGCCGACATACGTTTAGTGTCGGTAGTTTACCTTTACTCAGTGCGTGTAGAGATGTTAGCATTGTTAGCATCTGGTTAGCAGCCGGAGACAAAAAAGGACAGACAACCAAACAGTTCGGCTGACAAGTTTGACTTTAAGTGAACATTTTCGTCCTGGTCGCTTAGGATGCTTTTGGATAACAATAATTATGTTTTTGTAGATGTCAGTGAAACGACTCGTAAGAGAGTCAAATGTATGATTGTTTGGTCCAAAACTCAGATTTAAGTTTCACGCAAAGACGTCAAATAGCTAAAAAAAAGTTAAAAATAAAAGGCAGTTAAATGTTTTGCTTGTTAGCCGGTTAGCGTGTCTGTGAAAACGGATACGCACAAGGACAGAGTTTTGACAGGTCATATACAGTCATTGGTGTTGGTATTTATGTGCAGTCGACATCCTTGGCGATACATGACCGCTTTCTTCCGGATGTAATTTCTCTCATGTCATTGCCATATATCCACATTTTGCAGTCGTCCTTCGTGTGGTGTTTAATTTCGTTTGCCCTCTGTCATATTTTTTACGATTCTCACACGTCATTAACATCAACTACACAGTGAGTGGTTGCTGTTTGTCTGTGACATAAGTAGATGACAGAACTACCATGGGTTGGCATTACAAATAAACATTATACATTTGACACACGGTATTATGATTTATGTCTTCGGGAAATGATGGCATCATTAACTTTTTAAAAACTTTAATGAGGCATGTAATTATTGAATCTAATTTTATGCCACTAGAAGGATGGAATTTATAGCCTCTTACTAAGCTGCAGTTTAACGCAAAACTGGTGGTCTGAAAAATGTCTATAAAATATCAAGGTTATTTAATTTTGTATATGTGATACTTAAAAATAAAATTAGAATATAATAGAACACTTTCGGGACAGTTCCACATGGTTAAAATACACTGAAAGTCTGTTATTATACAGAATTTGAACTTAGAGGAAAGCCTGGAGATGTGTTTTTGCATGTGTGAAAAATTATAATAATTGTTAATATATCTTCCCCTAAGGAAAAGTGTTGGATGTATTTTCTAACTGAAAGAAACAGACGAAGGTTTGAGACATTTCACTGCAGTACGGCTGACTCAAGGATAGACTGGGTGGCGATATGTCTCCTTTTAGCCTGGCCATCAGAGGTTGACATGTAAGCATTTAGCAGGAAAGCTGGTGCTCAGCAGTGGATTTAACCACTGTGCAGCTCAGCATATAATTTGCACCAACCTGCACAGCTATGTTTGAAAAAAAAAAAAAACACAAGCTGCTTTTGCTTTGCTTTTGCCCAAGGTGAGCCTTGCTAAGTGTGTGTGGCACGGTGTTCGATTACATTTTTTACATGCAGGAATATCCACGTAATCATACGAACACAACAGTGTTCATTTTCTGTGTGTTTATGTTTTGAGATGCAGTGTTGTAAGTATAAAAGAAAATCATTTCTGTGCAGTATGGGCAGCCTTAGACTGAACGACTGCAGTACTGAGAGCTGAAAGGGTTATATTTGAACCAGTTTCACAATCGTTTGATACAACAGGCATTTATTCCAACAGTGCAGTACAGTTTGTTTACATTCCCTTTGTTTTCCCACCTGGGACATGTCTAGCATGGTGCCTCTTCCAGTCAGACTCTGTCATGTTTATGAATGGTTTACAGCACCTGCAGTTGTTCCAACCCGACACGGTTGTTGTTCTTTGTGCTGTCAGATAATTTGAATATGTTTTTGTTTCAACACATGGCGTTGTTTCTTGGTAACTTGGCAACACAATGCATTTTTTACTCAAAAAAAAAAACCCCTCAAAACATCAGAAATATTTAGAGAAGACCATGTGTTTTCCAGATGTGCTTGGATGTAGACGTGGAGCCTGTTTCTTGGTTTTCCCACTGATATTATTATTATAAAAGACCTGCAAAATATTGTGTGCACTGGTTAAAGGGATAGTTCATGGTTTAGGATGTGTAAAAATGTTATACGTTTAAGCAACTTGGGAATAAATGTCTGTGACTTGATTCCAAAACATGCAATATTTATTTCTGCCATACAGTTGGTATTAAAGGGTGAGCTTTAATGATGCCGCAAAAACGTTGGCTATCAACTGGAAGTGACAGTTTGACGATCATATTCCAACACAGTCTTACGTAACTATGTGTACATTTGTTCGGCCAGTGAGAGTTACGTGAACTTTCCCTTCCTTTCTCCTTGTCTCCTCAGTAACCAACCTCCTCCAGCTTACTCCCATCCATCCACAGCCAGCTACAGCATCCAACAGCCTCCAGCTGTAGCTCATGCAGTGACGGCGTCCTACTCGCCCGCAGTGACGGCGGCCTACTCGCCCGCAGTGACGGCGGCCTACTCGCCCGCAGTGACGGCGGCCTACTCGCCCGCAGTGACGGCGTGCCACTCGCCCGCAGCGACGGCGTCCTACTCACCGGCTTCAGTGCAAGCAGCACGACCCGTGGTCTCTGCTACTTATCCTGCTTACCAGACCCACCAGGCCCCTCCAGACTATGGCTACCGGCAGCCAGAGCCTCCGGCCCCTCCACAGCCCACCACCACCCCACAGACCTACCAGGTGTTCTCAGAAACGGTCAGTCAATATCTACTTTCTTTTCCCCCCGATCGTCACTTCCGTAATGCCCCAAATTAAAGTATATTGTTACATTATTTAAAGGTACTGAGACACAATCCTGACTGTTAAAGTTTACTCTGTACCAGTATTTAAATTTTTAAAAAATATGTTAATGTATTTATATTTTATACAGTGTACAGAGTACAGCCTAGAAACGTGTGCATTTTTCAGAGTTGCCTTAGATGTCTGACTTGCTGCCTTTTTTTATTAAATTTTTTTTTTTTTTTGTATTTGTCAAAAGCAGCCAGACAACACCTTTGGTTATGGACGCCCAGCAACTGTGACTACCTATGACAACAAACAGTACTTCCAGACCAGTATAGCCTCAGCTCAAAGGGCGCCTACAGAAAACTACTACCAAACAAGTAAGTGTGTTACTTCACATTTTTCATTAAAAAAACATTTCTGGAAGCATACACCGTAGCACTTGAACGACATACTTTATTCAAATTCTTGAAAACTGCTCCAGTCAGCCAGAGGTGTGTTTTTTTTCCCTCCTGCAGTTCAGTGACTCAGCGTCCTCATGGACAGTTTATATAAGACGTTCAACAGTGTCAGAAATGTGAAGAAATAGAAGGGAAGATGAGGTTTACTGTAACAATACGAGCAGTTTAGCACTGAATTCACTAATTCATGTTCTCACCTTTCATAGACAGAGATATACAACACACCAAGTCACTTTTCTGTTGACTCAGTGTGTGTTCAACCAACGTTGTCTGTGTTCATTTGTTTTTTTTTATGAATACATTACCTAAGTGACTGTAAAGTGGTTCAGAACATATTAATTGTCAGTTGTTTTGTGGTTGAGCCGTCAGTCTGCAGACAGGTTCAGTCAGCAGATAATCTACATTTTCTTTTGGCCCCGTTCGCT